AGTTTAATGTAATCTAGAATAGCCAATAAATTCTTGTTTCATTTATAAAGAATCATTGTCTTGTGTTGTAATTTTAAAGTTGAACCTTGCCAAGATCTTGTTACCTTGCTCAAAATTAATAAGATTACCATTTTGTTTATGTGTCGTTGGCCACGAAGTAATATGAACAGAATCGTTAATATACACGGACGTTAACGTCTCGCGGGACGAGTAGTTGATAAAGTGTAAACTATCAAATTTGAAATCAGTTCTAATCAGGTTGACTTCGTATTTTCAGATTCGAGTCCTCTCAAAACCTGAATTAATTAAAGGTCCCATGACATGCTGCTTTTTGGATGTTTTTATATTTCCCCGTATGACGACATAAAGGGAAGATTCCAGATTGGGCCATCTGAGCTTTCATTTTCTCAAAGGCAAAGCAGGATACCCAGGGCTCGGTTTACACCTATCGCCATTTCTAGCCACTGGGGGACCATAGGCAGGCTAGGGGAACTCATATTAATGTTAAAAAACCTCATAAAGTGAAATTTTCATGCCATGGGACCTTTAATAATAATTAATTCCCTAAGAAAAGTAATCTGACATTACAGTGAAATGGGTAACACTTAAGTATAGGGACCATTTCTCACTATTAATTAGTTGCGTTTTAGCATGCCTATTGACATATTGGCTGTTTATTTGTACATATAAAACACATATTCAGCATGACCATATTCTACATCCTTAATCCTGCCCTACTAACTTAACAACCACTTACTAACTATTAATAAGCAGCAGATTAGGAGTTTATTGGGGCAAAAATCGTAGTTAATGGCTTGTTAATAGCGAGAATTGGACCTTAAGATAAAATGTAACCATGAAATTAAAGCTATTTAATTGAGTGACATGTCTGAACAGACTTTGTGGGCAAAAACTTTTAACCCAAAATGTTAGATGTCTATATAGACTCACCCGGGGTGGCACCATCAACAATTGACCCTACCTATCATTTGAAACCCCATTAACCCCATGTGGATCAGTGGAGTTGTTTGCCTTTGGTCTGCTTCCTGTCCCCTCTTCCTGAACTCCCATCCAGTACTATTACAATGCATGGCCATAACAACAACATTATGGAAACCCCATGGGATGATGATGTTAACCTGACTTTAATTCCTGCTATGTTTACATGTCTGTGTTCTCTAGAGGTATTTTGTTTTGATAGATGTGCACACAGTTCCACAAATAGAGTATAATCCAGTGTGTGCAGGGATCAGGGTCATTGAGATTTGATTGATTCCTGGACTGAAACTCTGGCTCACATCCTAGTGACTAGTCATATTTTCCACACCCCTGAGGGTGGAGGGCACTAGCAGGCACCTGCCACAACAATCCCTCTTATCAGTGCCCGGCCTTCTCGCCACTCTTCCTGTGTCTGCCTACCATACACTTTCTCCTCATGTCAGAGTGACACACTTCTCACAGCCTTTAGTTAATCAAACACTAATTATTCTCATCAAGACAGCTGGACACTTGCTAAAGCTGTTTTTCATGCCATCTTGAGCTCATTTGATTTGGATTGGCATTTGATAGCAAGAGAATCTAGAAAGCAAGAGACTACCCTCCTGAGTCCAGCATTAATTTCCATGCTGGTATAAACTGGTTTCTTCTAGCTGATATGCTGATCTTTTAAACGGCATTTGTAACGGAATTTTAATTTTATTTTTTGCTTAATTGTTCGTTTTCAGTCTTTACTTACAGTCTTTAATTGGTCTTGTTTGGTCTTTAATACTTCTGAAGCAGTTTTGTGTGGTATAAATATGAGAAATTCTTAACTCAGCAAGCACAAAAATATCCATTTAGCCAGTCAGCAAAAATATCTCCTATTTCCTAAATCAGGAATCTTATTTTTAAGTTTTTAAACACAAGTTGCCTAGTGAAACTGAAAGAAAAGTTTATTTAAAATAGTCTTTACTGTCACTTTTGATCAATATAATGCCTCCTTTCTGTCAAACTTTAGTGTAAAACTTATTATTATTATTATTTTTACAATTGACGCAGAAAGAATGACAAAAACATTTTAAGATTAGCACATTTATATATGAAGACAGGGAAACACAAATAGCAATACAGGAGACTGAATTAAAGCCGTTTAATTAATCTTTAAGAATACAGCAAAAGCAATATGTTAAACTCATTGGGTCTTTCATTTTATTCATCAAAACACATCCAGACCAAATTTCTGTATAAATCATTTCCAAATCCTTTTTGTATGTACGTCGCATTGAAATCAATTCAGCAATTTACATATGAATGCTTTTGTAGGATTTACTGTACATAGAAATTCATTCTGCTTATTCTTCTTGAATAAAGCACATTAAGAATGGATATTTTTATGAATGAACAACAAATGGATATTTTTCATGAATGAACAACATAAAGGAGTAAAGAAAATAAGAGCTGAACATCCATTCAGACAGTTTTATTGAAAAGAAATCAGGTCAGTGTATTCCAATGAGCCAAAGTTTGCTGCAAACAGGAGTCAGCTGTAACCTATATTTAATGTAAGTGGATAAACAGCCATCTTGATGTCAAGCTATAGATCTAATGACCACTGCTTGGTGGTTAGTGTTGTGGTAGTGTTGATTAAAGAGAAGCATCTAATGAGCAGTGTGTGGCTGTTACACACACGCTACCATTAATCAAGTGCAACTAGGTTTGATTATCTACTCCCACCATCCAAAAAAACACACATTGACATTAAAATGGAAGCCAGTGCTCACCACTGACTGGGTATGATGAGTATATTTAACTATAGTGGTGGTCATCAGCCAAAAAAGCCAAAACCAGTGCAAAAAATACCAGACCCACCTTTGGGAGTGACCCATGATTCTGCGTAGGCCTCTGCTTTTTTAAAAGGAGGAAGGTCATAAACAAAGTAGTTAATTTGGCTCTGGGTGTAACAGGAATTTGTCTGTCACTACCAACATAAAAGCATACAGAAGGAACCTAAAATGAGGCAGGGTCTTACCAGCACTCAACAACATTCAGACATGATGTATTCACCATGCACAATGTGGAGGTGGGTTGACGTCACACTTAAACAGTGAGAAAAATATGCCTGCCTTTTGACTTGTGACTTGTAATTGCTTCACTCTAGTTACCCAGTGAGGGTTACTCTATGAAATGGATTTTCTTTTTGTAGGGTTTTGAACATTGTGAGATGAGAGAGCCATTTTTAACATTTAATCTAATCCATTTTAATATATAAATATATAATTTCATATAAATATACAGGCATTCATGCATATACATTGCAATATGCATTCAGAAATGTAAAAGGAATGGCCATTTAAGCTTTTATTTGCATATTTTGTTTTCATCACTTCATATTTGTGAATATAACAAAGAGAAATTGGAAACAGGGATGGGGACTGGAATTTTGCTGATTTGTTTTGAGAAATGTCTACATTAACACATTGTAAAAGTTGGCATCATCTAGTCTTTGTTGGCCCATAATGCTCCATGGTTTCTGTCTCAAGGCTTCAGTAAACTCACCGGCATTTTTAGAAAGCCTGATCGTGGCAGCTAAGATGAGTTATGACTCTGATCTGCTCTGTAAAGGGTGTAATTAGATATGTCAGTCTCTGAAGAGCTGACGTACATCTCCACGCTGTTATGCACAGGACTGATATGGCTGTGGAAGCTAATATCATCCATCTCATATGGATTTGCACATCAGTTGATGTGGATTTACATATTTTGAATGTCTTATCACATTTTACAGTGGCACATTAGATGCCACAAACAAACCTGTGTGGGTTTTCATAACATGTACATGCTCTACGGTGATGTTAGTTCATCTGAGGACTTGCTTTTGGATTGCTTATACATCACTTCCAAATAAAATGTTTGGTAAGCGTTAGGAAGCATTTCCAGATTTGGAAATGGCTGTCACATGGAACTTCACATGCTGTTCCAACTCTGTTAGGCTAAGAAACTCTAATGTATGTAACACTCCTCAGCACCAGAGCCAAGCCACAGAATCCAAAATCTAAAACAGCAGCCTCCTCCCAGAGCAATCTGCGAATCAAACAATACAATCACAATTACATTTATATACAAACAACAGATGTCGTATCTCCGCCTTTCATGGCAGCCCACCAATCCCTGCTACTTGGGCAAATATGTTCACCAACGTTTTCTCCCCCTGTTAGAAATATCATATTGAGAGGTTTTACTTTTAATAGGTTTAAAACACTAGACATTTCCCAAATTTAGGAATCTCCACATCTAAACCATTGGTTTTCCACTGTGAAACATGCTCAGCTGGGCAGACACCTCAAAAATGCCCTCTAGTGCTGATGTCTATCACAGAAAAACAAATCATAGGTTGCCAGCAGTTGGTCACAGTAATGACTGCCTTGGTTGTCTGTTCTGGAATATCCATTTTGTATACACTCCAAGAAAAGTCCTCAAAAATAGGGCCCAATGTACTGTGCTAATAAGGAATTTTCCATATCGAGTTTACACAGGTGTTTTATCCATATTTTAAATTAGCCATTGCATTATGTTGTGTTTTAGGTTTATAGGAAATGTCCGTAAACTTAACTGAAAATGTTCTGGTAGAAAATCACCAGTACCTGTACCAGTAAAACTACCAGTACCAATTACCTTTTAATAATAAGTAAAAAAAAATTTTTTTACTGATTTATTTCTGTGTGCTTCTTTTTTTGTAACTAGCTTTCCATTCAACTTTTATATTTAAATGGGACTCATTGAATAATTAAAACATGAGTAGTCTCCTGAGAATCAGTATCTGTAGTACATCTTTACACATGTCTCCTGTACTAATAATGCAATGTGTTTGTTCTTCCTTTTAGAAATGGCCACCACCACATCTGAAGACTGGCTGACGGATCTTACCCAAGAATCTGCACTCCCTGACTGCAATGCAGAACGTTCTGGAATCTGCAGTTCTAGTGACACTTGGCCCACCACCACTGTCCTGAGCAACAGCAGCAAAAATTACAGCACAACCACCCTCTCCACCAACCTCTCTCAAAGTCCCAACCCATTTACAGCCCCACCTATGTTTGTGGCACTATATTCTGATTGGAACAGTGCCCTGGCAACATGGGGTTCAGCGTGGGAAGGACACATCTACGGCCTGGGCACTGTGTTCTGTCTAGTCGCTTTGGCCTCCACCCTGAACCTCCTGTGCCTGCCCCTACAGTACCCATCAGGCTGTGGCTACTTCGCTCTGGTTAGTCTCTGCCTGGTGGCCGCTGGCTGCACTAGGGCCTTCGCCCTAGTGTACGATGCATATGGATACCAGGACCGCATGGCATCCACAGAGGCTTCACTGTTACTTTACGAGGCACCATTTCCCTGCATGACTGCGGCCTTTGGCCTAGTATTCTTGCTCCTGTCAATGCGCTCTCGTATGCAGCTGTCCTATTCCGCCTTTCAGAGACCTTGTTTCCTGGCTTGCTTGGTGCTTCTGCACTTTGCTGCTGCCTTTGGCCCTGTTGCATTACTCCATGTTGACCAGCAAGTCTACCTGTTTCTGTCCTTGATCTCTAGAGGTGCCTTTGTGGCTCTGGCGACTTTCCTATCAGCTGCATATTTCGTGTTCTACTGCTACGTTTGTGCTGACTCCAAGCATATTTATCATCTGAACAACACATCACCAACACCAGCCGAACGCTACAACCGTTGCCCGTTTGCAGAGAGCAGAGATTGGGACCGGGCAGCAGCCGCAGTGTTACTCTGTGCTGTCTTTTCTCTGGCTTGTTCAGGGCTGCAACTCTACGCCATGCTGCACGCTCTCGGAATTGCTGGAAGCGCTGAGTCCTTTCGGCCTTGGCCGTGGTGGACTTTCCAGTTCAGCTGCCGAGTTTGTGAAGCAGTGATCTGCCTCACACTGGTCCTGGTAGTTGCTCAGCCAGTTTATTGTTCTGATCACCTTCCCCAGCCAGGAAGTTGCTGGACAGAACTCCTTGCAGCAAAGTCACCTATCATTCCTGGGAGCTACCAGTGGACTCTGTCTCACCAGGAGAAGCTGGCCATTTGTGATCCAATTGGGCACGGAGAGACAGAGTGCCTACCCTTGTACACATTGGTGGATGACCATCTCAGCAGCTTGAATGGCCTTGACCTTTTATACCACAGCAACCGGGCTTTGGCCTATCGTGACCTTGACCTGGACTTGCCCAACACTCAACCCAACACTGGTGCCCCTTCTGTGGGTTCATCCTGTACCAGTGACTCCACAGCGGACCTGCGCCCTCCTTCGCCCATAAATCTGCGTCGAAGCATTGATGAAGCACTGTTTAGTGAATCTCTATTTCCCATGAGTCTCTTCAGCCCCTTACGACCCTTCACCTCTAGTGACCGCTCCCTGAATGGTAGAGAGACCAACTCCAGCGGTGTCCAAACCTTGAGAGACACCCTTACTCCTGATCCAGGCCTATACCGAACATCTTCATGTGTGGAAGTGCTACCCCAAGTTCCCCTTGCTTCTCAAGCCCAACCAGATGGTCCGTCATTAGGTTTTCCTCCATCCCCATCTCCCTCACTGTCATCTTCAACTTGCTGCTCATCTCCCGAGCGCTGGAGAGGCAGCTCCAGCTCCTGTTCCCTCTACAGACAGTCTCTGGGTGGCTCTTCTTTGGTTTTGTGCTCTAGTCTGGAAGGACACCATCCACCACCCTCTACCCTCAGTGGGGGTTCCAGCCACACTGCCAGCTCTGGCCACCAAAGGGGAAGCTTACAGAGACCCTACAGAACATTAAAGTCAGAGGAGAGTATGGACCAGCAGTCAGAGTTTGACCAATCTGTCCAAGAAGAATTTATCAGTGTGTGCAGACAGATTGATGCTCTGAGCATCTGCAGTGAGACTATTGACCTCTAGGGGGAGACCTCTACTTTCAGACAAAACAAAATGATGTAATATGAAGGAACCAAAAGAGTTTTAGATATATGATGAGCAGGTAATGGACAGATCAGGTGATTCGGTGAGTCTGTTTGCCAGGGTGTCAAAACACATTTGCTCTGTGTAGACATACAGGTAAATGTTTTGTGGTCTAGAACTGTGCCAAATGTTTCATTTTGTAAGGGTTGGTTTGCTTCTGTCAGGTAAGTTCTCCAAAGAGATGGATTCTGAAGTCAATATCATTGTATAGGTTTAAGAAGTGCCACCAATTGCCAGAAGCTTAGGCAGATTTTGTACAAAAGTTCTTTGGTGATTGATAAATTTGTAATTGTAAAACATTAGTTTCAAACTTTCTCTATAATGCTAACAGTGACGTTTGTATGAATTTGTACAAAATCACTTTTTGGTCTATCTGATTAATACTGTGAGAGTGCGAACTACTGATAACCATACGGTTAAACAAATACTAGGCAACATAGCATCAGAAAATAGTTTCAAATTAAATACAGTATAACCTGCCAATCCAATTTTGTAAACCTTTAGAAAAGTTCATTGTGCTTCTGGTCTTTAATTGCACAGTTAACTTCAAGTACCTGTTGTTTTTTGCAACAATGCATTATGTTGTTGAAAGGCCTAACAGTTTTATCAACTCGGAGGGAGAAAACTACTCTTAAGACAAAAAGAAGGATGCAGGTATTCTTGCAGCACACTCTGCTGATAGCTAAAGTTCAGTCGTTCTGTGGCACTTAACGAACTGAACTATAGCCTGCCATTTTTTTCCTTTTCATAGTGTATATTTGATATATAACTACAATTAATCATTTACTTATCTGCCAGGTCTTATGTCATGTTTTCAAAAACTATACACTGTTACTCAATACATATTAAAATGAAGAAAAATTACTTTGTACATTTTATAGCGTGCATGTTCTGAAAACGTGTGAGAAACTGCTGATACATCTAATGTTTGTCATTAGAGGCTGTTGGAGATTTACAATAAATATATTGAAAACTGACATTTGTCTCATGCACAAATATTTCACACACAAAACAAGCTAAACTAAGTAACAGATTAAGTACTTTTATTTCTTTTTTAAACAATATTGGATAGGATATGCAACCTCAGTTGAGTACACTGCGGTAAACAAACTTGGCTCTTGAGTTGTCAGAGACTGTGACTGTGGGAAAACCAACACACTAACAAACAACATTCAGTTGATGTAAAGGATGCAAAGTGTGTCTTTCTACATCGTTATACTGAGAATTTTGTACAGCTTGAATAATAGTCCACATATTTAATGCCAAGATATAAAATAAAAAACCTCTAGCAGAAACTGCAAAAAGCTAAACAAATAGTACTGAAAATGTATTACAAAAACACTCATTTAAATTCATATGGTTGACATGCTTCATTTGGCAGTCATAGTTTTATGAAGACACAGGATCTGGCGAGCATGAGTGGCATGTTTTGGGTTAAGACAGATGTGTCCATTTATTACACAATTCAAGGCATGTCACTGGTCCACCCAACACGCAAAGCTGTAGGGGACATTTAGATGGACAAACATATCCTGAGAGAAGACCAGGATACTCACAGCATTTATTTGGCTTTTATAGAAGATTAAATAGTCAAGTTAACAAAAAAATGCACTTGGCAGTTATGTAAATAATATAAAAAAAAGAATACTGCAGCATGCAAAAGAAAACTCTTCATACCTGTACAGCACTCAGAATCACAACTGCATTAACCCAGATCCCATAATTACTATTCTTCTGTAAAATTCCTCAAAGACTGCATTAAAAGTCAGCCATAATTGACCTTGATAATCATCAAACCCTTCAGTATAAGTTCCAGCTTTTTGGTCAAAAATACAATCCAGACACATTAGCATGACACTCTCAGAGCAACTACATATATCTACAGATATCAATTTTGGTATAATTATTTTCAGTATGAATCATACCCACAGTTACAGAATGCGGAATGGTGGACGTAGAGAAAACTGACCCACCGATAATACAATAATAGACATTTAATTATCACAAACTTGACATTAATTTGTACCTATGTACCTATGTACCTCTGCCTTCTAAAATAAAAATATATCTCATAGCATCTTCAGTAGTTACAAATCTACTACAGAAAAGATTGCCTCAAGTATAGCTGGAGAACTTGGTTTGAAGGCAGCTATCATTTTGCAGGTGGATATGGTGATATAGACACTGATGCTGCCTTAAAAAATATTCAAGACAAAAACATGGTTGCAAGAATCCATTTGGGAGGAAAAAAAGGCTTTCAATTATATTCGCTGCAAATGCTGCCTTGATTCTGCCAGTCTGCTCATAAACACAGCTGCAAAAACACACAAACAAGCAGCTTTTGGGTAACCCTGATGTTCCCTTGAGTGCAACTGCCATGTTTTGGGGGACTGAATTAGTTTGCGGTCCTGCTCTCAAACTCATTTAATACTTCTCTTCTCCATATCTCACTGTGGTGGTCGTGCCAGAGGAACGGTGAAGAGCGGAGAACGGGTTCTGGCAGGGTGGGGTAAGTTCTAGGATTTGTCTGAGGTGTTTGGTCGCTGTTTCCCATCCATGTTCTGCCCGCTCTATTAGTAAAGACGTTTCTCATAACTGTGGAGACAAAAGACAATAGTTTGAGGTAGTGAAACCCATCCTAGCTCTGACATTTAAAGGTAGTGTTGAGCACTGGTGCCCTCTAGTGACTCACGAGTGAAGTCCATGTACGCCACCCTCCACCTGAGCAGACATGGTCCGCTTCTCGAACTTCAGCTCTCCGGAATACATCATGGACCTGAATGCGCACACAAAAACAGTGTCGGAATTTTCAGTGTTTAAACAATGCCGAATGCACAATAAAACACAGACACATACTTACCGAAGCACAGAGAGGCTTTTTGCACCAATGTCTTGGCAGCCGTGTTGGATTCCAGCGATGAGGTATGGGACAAATTTATGGATGGAGCCTTTGTCCTGCACTGAGCCCGACACTCCCTGAGCCACCTTCACCTTATCTCCCTCGCTGCCAAAAGAGCCAATCAGCAAAGAAAATTAGGTCATGTGATGAGAATAATATATCATTATATACTATACATTAAGAATAGTGTTGCAGCACACTATTCAGAAAGAATTGAATTCTGAACATAGCAATTGGCTTCCAACTGCTGAATAATTTATCTGTGTAGTACATAAACACACACTACTGTGTACCTGAAATATCGTTTCTGGCTGCTGGCGTTTTTCTCCATGGCATCTAGTGAGCCCATGCCTCTGTATTTCTTCAGTCGCACCCCATCAGAAAAGAAATATTCGCCTGGAGCTTCTGTGGTGGCGGCCAACAGAGATCCCATCATAACTGCAGATAGAAAGCACATTAATTTAATTTTCAACATTTCCTAAATTGTTACAAGTGCACTATAACAACAATCACCTGTCGATGACCCCAGGGACAGTGCCTTCACCACATGGCCGACCGTCTGGATGCCCCCATCTGCGATGACAGGCACCCCAAACCTCCGAGCGTACTCTGCCACCTTGTACACAGAGGTACCCTGAGGCCGTCCACATGCCATGACTACAGGGATCAAAAATGGACACACGTCAGGCTTTATGACTGGTTAACGTGTGAAAGGAATAGTGCAACATAACAGTGAGTACATAACTGTATATTGTGTTGTGAAATACAGGGATGCAAACTTGCCACCTTTTGGCAAAAATCACCATTTTGAATCCAAAATAGTTAATTTGTGTAGATATGATGGGTGCTTGAAGTGTGACACTGTGTTCATTTACACACAAGCTGCTCATAAATTCCGTGTTTTCAGTGGCTCGGTTTGCAGTAGATGCAGCTCCACATGAATTCAATTTCTGCAAGTGCTGAGAGATTTGGTCTCTCATATTGCGCATTTGAAAATGCAACACACCCCAACAATCTTCTCAAATTTATAACGAGAATAATTTATAAATCTGTGGTCAACAAAAGAGAAGCTGTAAGATCTCCCTGCTGTTAATGTTTGAAAGCAAAAAAAAAAAAAAAACATAAATATTAGAATTGAAATTTTAC